AGCTCGATAGCTAGCCGGGGGCAAGGCTCACTAGAGCCCGTGAGAACTGCGGACTCCCGGCAAATCGTTTTCAAACCCACTGCCTCTTTCGCTACTCAGGTTAAACATGATATATAAGTCACTTAGATAACTTAAAAATGTTATTGTTTGGCTTTTTTCAGTATTTTATTTGTTCCTGAGTAAATCAGTTTGGCTGAGATTAAAGTTATAGTTTTTACACAGCTGAATAAATGTCAAACAGAAAACTGATTATCAGAAGTGTGAGATGCTCGAGAATATACTCCGGTGTCCTGTTACATTTTAGATAGCAAGGAGCAGATGCCTGAATTTATTAAACTTCACCGACACAATCTGCAAATTTCATTAAAATGTAATAAACTATCATCTTGTCTTACACTTAAAGCTGTAAGCTAATGATAGTTATGTAAGAGCAGATGCATGCTGGTGCAATAAACTGTACGTTGTACGTCCAATGGATGGATGTTCTGATTAGTCGACTAATCGCAAAAATAATCGGTGAGTAGTCGACTATCAAAATAATCGTTTGTGCAGCCCTACTGCCAGTACATTTATAGATGTGCTGGCACAGAAACCTGGCTACTTACCCCCTTAAATGCCAGCGTGACCCCATTCAATTACAGACTGGTCAGCAAAACTAATGTAACTTTATCTTATTGGCTTAGACAGATATTGACAAAGTTTAACTTTGATGACATAATTTACAGTTGGAAAAAAAGAGAAAATTTTCATTTATTGAAATGAAAATTTCAATAAATTAAATCTATTTAATTATTGATTAAATTTATTATAATCAACATCGTGAGTGAAGTATTGTGATAACGCATTGTGCAGTGTCTGGTGATTGTCACTTCTAGGAACGGATGGTTTTTATTATGTCCTCATATATAAACTATGACTGTAGAAGTTAATTTTGCCTTGTGCATGTTTTTCAAACAATAGTAAATCAGGATAAGGTGCGATAGTCACATAGACCTGTATTCAACTTGAAGAGACAAGAAAATAAGCTCAAATTGTTAGAGCTGTGTGTTTTAAGCAAAACTTCTGCCTAGTTACGGAACTGAAGCACAAACCTGATGTCTACATATCCGTGTCTTTTAACTTGGATGATTATTAGAAAACCTGCTCAGAGTCTAATAATAACATCTTGTATAGCACCTGTCGATTCTCCTCTACCTTATAGCTACACCATAATATGTTACTATATGCAAATGAGAACCAGAGTATTACTTATTATTCCCAAGATAGATGAATCACTTTAGAAGCATCTGCATCACTGTGTATTTCAGGAGGATGGTTACGGTGAAGGAGAAAATGATGGGAAAATCCAGGAAGCTTGCCTGGAGAAATTCTCCAGCAGGGATTACATCATGGAGCCTGCTATCTTCAGCACCCTCAAAACGTAAGTGTCTGCACTCTCATGTAAATTTAATATAAGTTTTGTTAAAAAGACATTTATTGATTAACAACCATGTTCTTTCTGTAGGTATTTTCAAGCAGGTGGCTCTCCAGAACATGTCATCCAGCTTCTCTCTGAAAATTACTCTGCCGTGGCTCAGACTGTTAATCTGCTGGCCGAGTGGCTCATCCAGATGGGTACCTGTCAGACTACTCGTCTTACTGTTGTTGTGTCAGAAAGCTATTTTTAGTTTGCTTTACTGATGGCTTTTCATTAATGTGTAATGTAATTATTCAGGTGTGGAGCCTGCACAGGTCCAAGAACGAGTAGAAAATCACCTTAAGAGTCTTCTGATAAAACACTTTGACCCCCAGAAAGCTGATTCCATCTTCACCGTTGAGGGAGAGGTGAGATCTCTAAACACACGGGGTAATTACACATATGACAAATGAAAGTGGTGAGAAACCTTGAGCGTGTTGTGCTTCATAATTTAATGAGTGATTTTAAATCTAACTGAAGCTCAGAGAAACCAAACTAATCCAGTCTCCTGCCCTTTTAGACTCCTGCTTGGCTTGAGCAGATGATAGCGCACACAACGTGGAGAGATCTCTTCTATAAGCTGGCAGAGGCTCACCCAGATTGCCTGATGCTCAACTTCACTGTAAAGGTATAGTAGTAGCTGTGGAAACAGTAAGAGCAGCAGGAGCTGAAGATTAGGACCTGAACACAAACTAACCAATAGAAAGAGTCAAGTTAAAGATTTTAACTTTCAATTTGTTTCTGATGTTCTGTTATTGTGGTTTACGCTCATTGGACACATTATTAGGGACACTTTGCTTGAAGCCTTTGGATTCAGAACTGCCTCAATTCTTCATGCTGGGAAAATTCCTCAGATTTTGGTCCACATTGATCCTGGCACCAACATCTGTGCAACATTCAAAGTCACTGATATGATTTGTATGACCGATTTAAGAATCAGATATTCAGAGACATTTGCATCTAATTTTTTTCAGACACATGAAACACAGACAGATTTATGTATTTTATTTTTTATGTGTAGTTTTTTATTTATTTGTATATGCTCTGTCCAACTCTTCTTAGATCAGTTAGATTTTGTTTTAGTGAGATTCCACGTAAGTATTGGCAGCAGGGAAGTTGCAGAGGGCCCTCCGGTGGACAAACTATGCAACAGTTATTGCCAATACCAATAGATCAGCAGAAAAGGTAATGTAGGCCTGCTAATAAATCAGTCTGGCTCTGCATGGGTTTGACTCATTAGTTATTTTTGTTAACAAGCAGCTAAACACGTGTACATAAAAACATGGTCAGTAAGTGTATTGTTGTAATTGTAATTCACCCGAATATGAAAATTCACCTTAATTGAATCATTTTTCTTCTTTTTTTGATACATTTTTGCAGCTTGATGACTTGGACTGTCACTGCTTCTTTTCAGTATTGTGTTTGTGTTTGTTTAGCTCATTTCAGACGCAGGTTACCAGGGCGAGATCACCAGCGTGTCCACAGCCTGCCAACAGCTGGAAGTTTTCTCTCGGGTGTTGAGAACATCTTTGGCCACGCTGCTAGACGGAGGAGAAGAAAACCTGGAGAAGAACCTGCCCGAATTTGCTGTGAGGATTACTTTGCGTGTCTGTTCCGTCAACCATCAAAGATCTGTAAAATATGTATCTTTTTGTCTCTATGTGCCACTTTTTTAAAAGTGCTGTAAGTAATGGTCTCTGATGAGTTGTGCCCGACTCTTTCCAACAGAAAATGGTGTGTCACGGCGAGCACACCTACCTCTTTGCCCAGGCAATGATGTCCATCCTTGCTCAGGAGGAACAGGGAGGTTCAGCTGTCCGCAGGATCGGCCAGGAGGTGCAAAAGTCTGCACATGAGAGGTAACGTTGTCAACAGATGTGGTCAAAGTGATCAAGTGAACTGTGAGATTAGAGTTTTGTGGATGAGCTTGAGTAATAAAAACGGTGCAATAAAGGTGGTTTATATTGCAGAGGTCACGATGCCAGTCAGATAACCCTTGCGCTTGGTACAGCGGCAGCCTACCCTCGAGCCTGCCAGGCTCTCGGCGCCATGTTGTCCAAAGGAGCCCTGAATCCTGCTGATATAACAGTTCTGTTCAAGATGTTTAGCAGCATGGACCCTCCTCCAGTCGAACTGGTGAGTTCAAAACATTCTTACTGCTGTTTATGTCCAGTGTTTACTAACTAAAGCACTCTGAATTTAAGCACTTGTCTGTCTTGTCTTTAGATCAGAGTGCCGGCCTTTCTCGACCTGTTTATGCAGTCGCTTTTCAAGCCTGGATCAAAGATCAACCAAGACCATAAACACAAATACATCCACATTTTAGCCTATGCTGCCAGTGTGGTGGAGACCTGGAAAAAGGTACAAAAAACAATGATGCTGTGTGCATTGTTAATTTAAATCGTATAATAATGAAAATATGCTTATTTTATCCCAAATCCAGAACAAGCGAGTGAACATCAATAAAGATGAGCTGAAGTCAACCTCTAAGGCTATTGAGACCGTGCACAACCTGTGCTGCAATGAGAACAAAGGAGCCACAGAGCTGATTGCTGAGCTCGGCACTTTGTACCAGTGCATCAGGTGAGTGTTTGACAAGAGCTTTCAAATATGAAATATTGGTTAGTTGGTTTCATCGTATCTAATGCGACTCTTCTATCATCTAACACACTAATCTTACTTGTTGTAAATTTTAACCCCATCATGCAGTGAATCTTTGTAAAGGAGTGTAAGGGTTATTGAGACATGTTGCAATGGTTGTTAAGCATCGTTTTACCAGGAAAAGATGCACTTTTAATCAGTGAAAATGAACAAGGTTATTTATTAGAATACAGCTCTTTCAGTGCTTACTGCACCATCGTAGAGTTACTTTCACCTCTGTTTTTCTTTCTGAAGCAACAAATCTAGTGACGTTACCAGACTGTGCAGTTAATTTTGATATTTTTATAGGCACTGAAGACAGTTCAATATTTTGAAGCAGAACCCGTACAGTCAGATTTGTGTCATAATGTTTTCATTGTTGTAGAGTAAGGTCTGTAGTAAGAGTAGGAAGTATATTGTGTTAAAGAAGAAACAAAGGGGAAACTTGAAGCAACAGCATTTTTAATATGTTGATCTTCAGTTAATCATTCAAAGCCTGAATACAGCTCAGCTCGAGCTGATGGGCTTCCAAGATTTACCGGATGAAATGTGCAAATGAAAAATCTATTTACATGTATGATTATTTAGTTTTATACCATTAGAATCTATTGTATATACGGTACAGAAGGGTTCAAATATTGGTACTTAAAGTAAAACCGGAGTTTGAGACCCAGACTTCCTCACTGACTGACCGTCTGTGTGTTCAGGTTTCCAGTGGTTGCTATGGGAGTTCTGAAGTGGGTGGACTGGACGGTGTCCGAGCCGCGGTACTTCCAGCTGCAAACAGACCACACTCCCGTCCATTTAGCTTTACTGGATGAGGTGCGACACTGCTGCAAGATGAAAGATTAAATTGTGATTAATTTGCGGAGCTTAAAGTCCAAACATTAAAATTTTCTCTGCACAGATCTGTACGTGTCACCAGCTGCTGCACCCGCAGGTCCTCCAGCTGCTCATCAAGCTCTTTGAGACCGAGCACTCTCAGCTGGACGTCATGGAGCAGGTGGGCGTTGTGTGCCTCGCATGCTTTTAATTCCAGCTTGTTAACAGACGCCTGTGTGTTGTAGCTCTGAGCTGACAGCGTGTTTGTTTTATTTCCCCCTCCAGTTGGAGTTGAAGAAGACTCTGCTGGACCGAATGGTTCACCTGCTGAGTCGTGGCTACGTCCTGCCCGTCGTCAGCTACATCCGCAAATGTCTGGAGAAACTCAACACAGATATCTCCCTCATTAGATATTTTGTCACTGAGGTAACAGCTGCTTATGGAAATCTGGTTTATGTGTGCACTCTTTCCTGTCAGGTCTGTTCTCCTGTTGTTTGTTCAATTTCAGCTTTGCACAGATTAATGTTCACTGTTTCCATTCCTGTTATTGGTTAGTGACGTCTTTACCCAAGTAGTTGGTATATGCCAAAAAAAAGGGATGAATATTTGACCTAGAATCTTTATAAAACACCTGGAGTTGATGCTCTATAATTGGTAAATGTGGAAATAAGACACTGTTTCAGTACATCAGACCTTTGTGAACAGAGCTCAGTGTGAGATATTTCTCTTAAAGGTGCTGGACGTGATCGCGCCTCCCTATACGTCGGACTTTGTTCAACTCTTCTTGCCGATCCTTGAGAACGACAGCATCGCAGGAACGATCCGCACAGATGGAGAACATGACGCTGTTGCTGAGTTTATCGGTAAGTGGCGAGAAAGGAAAGTTTATAGAAAGTCTATTATTCCTTTAATAAATAAAAGGAAGTCTTTGGGCTCTCATCCATCTGAAGCACTAACATGTGGGTGATTGGTTTTTCAGCCCACTGCAAGTCAAACTTCATCATGATCAACTGATGTGGAATTGACACCCAAAATGGGAGACGTAAAGGAGGTGGAAGATCTGTTATCTGATAAGCAGGTGCTTGCAGCTGAAGCACATAGCTTGGAGGTGGATTTTTCATTTTGGCAAAGTGAAGTGGAAATGAGTTTCTGTTAAGGAAACATGAAAACAGCTGTGACTGTCGCTGAGCTGGCTGAGTGGTGTGAAAGTAATGACACAGATTTATCTGAAGATGCAGCTGAATGTTGCTTTTTTTACCTGTATATTTGATTTTCTATATTTTATGTTGGTCTGAGCTCTTTTAAAATAAACTTTAAAATGTTGCTTGTTTTGTTTTGTTGTTTTTGTTTTTTATACAGTCTCAGACTGCAGAAATATAATCAGCTCCCTCTCATGCATTTTATTTATTTGTTTGTTTTAATATGGAGATCTGTAAACCTCAAAAGCCGCATATTTAATTGAAGCAGGTGATTACACACCACTTTTATTTGAAGTTTTTGTTTTCAGTTTCCAGGGTGACTTTGACGATTTCAGGTTAGTTCTTATAATTTTCATAGTTTTCTTTAGTCTTTTAATGATACGAGATATTTCTCAGATGCAGATTTAAGAAATTTAAAATACTAATTGCAAGTCAAACAGTACTGGAGGTAGTGAACTCACAATCTCAAAAATACATAACCAAAGCCTTTGAAGCTGGTTGTGTAAGACATTTAAATACATTATGTTTTATTTTTACCCATTCGGTGTATTGTGACCTCTCCCTCTTTTTAAAGCTAAAGGTCATTAGCATCAGTGGTCCCCTGTGAAGTCCTAGTGAACCAATGACTGTTTAACGATGCAAATTAGACCTCTTTAAAACATATTGTTTAGTTCTACCTTTCTTTTATTCTTTTGTGTATGCTGACAGCCTTTCCGCACTCCTTACTGTCTTAAGAATTGTAAAAATGTCACTTCTGTAGTTATCTAAATATTTACCATTGGCTAACAATGACAAATGGTAGAGAAAGTGTTCCTTTAGGAGAAGCAGCACCTGTGTAGTCAGATGTATTGAAACACCTGACTACACCAGCAGACAGGCAATCACCACTGAGAGAGGATCTGTATCTGTTAATCTTTATCACTAAAAATGTGTGTTCACAAATGAACATGGATTCAAAAAGAAGCAACATCTTCCCTGCTGGCATGTAAGAATGTTGCTCTTCAAATGGCTTGAAGGAAACTGCAACTTTCTGATAAAGGCCTTCACCGGGCTGTGCATTTCACCTGCACAGGCTCTTGATTTACAGTTGGTATGTAGTTCATTCTTTGCAAGTCTGTCACATTAATAGAAAATGCAAGAGCTGCTTTTCAGTCTGAATTTTCCACCCACTTTAATTTCTGCTCTCAGGTCCTACACTCTCTCTAGCTTTACCCAGGCCGAGCCACCTGACAGTTTTTCCTTCCCACTGTCACCACGTGCTTGCTCATAAGGAATCACCCGATTGTTGGGCTTTCTCTGTAAACGAGAAAGCCCAACAATCAGGTGATGGTATAAACGGCCGTGAGGCAACAGTGATTCAATACTATACAAATAAAATGGAACTGATTTGAATTAACTAATAGAAAACTTGTTTTTACCTTTATGTGCCTTTTCTCCTTTTGTGTATCTGCTGGTATGAAGACTGCTTATTTTGCAAAAAGCTTCTTTCAGTAAACTTCAGAAGCCTCTGAAATGTACTGGGCAAACTGCATCTTCCAAAGATCATCACTGTGTATTGGAGGAAATCATCAGGTAGCATAAATGTAGTTTGGTCAGCTAACGGGGCCAAAGGACATCACTAGATTCTGTTTCCTCCCTGAGATGCTCTGCCAGCATCTTCATTTGCAGCTTTCTTGAGTGTCTAACTTATGTCAAAAGCACGCTCTGCTGGGTGAGATCAGGTGATTGTATTGTTATGGAATAATAAGAGATCGCCATGAAGCTGACTGTCAGTTCATCTTCACCTGATTGACATCAATTAATGACGTCAGTATTAAAGTAAAGACAGTGGATGGTAAAATAGAAAAGCCTGAGAGGTTTCTATAAAACATTCTAACTCAAAGGACAGATGAAGTGTTTATTGGTACAGTTTGAAAACAAATTGTCACAATGAAATATTTTGGGTACAAAGTGTTCATCATAAAACAAATGGCAAATTACAAGAATCTAT